TATTTTCTGCTGGTCACTGTCTGCTTTTGTAGGACAGAAAAAAAAAACACCTTTTGCAAATTTTCACCATAAACTTCATGAGGGTGAATGATGAAAAACGTTCAATTTTGGGTGCGCTGCTCATTTAAGATGTTATTAAGACATTATTTTCATTCTTTTGAGTATATTTTTGAAAATTCTATCCATACAATGATGGTGAAATCTACACACACACACACAGTAAATCTGTCAGGTCTGATATGCGTTTCTACAACCATCCTGAACTCCCTACAGGGGTCTTAAAGCAATATACACTGGATTCCTATCAGAACTCAACCCTGCACACCATTTAAAATGATTGTAATGGGATCAAATGAGACCCTACTGGGTGAACTCGAATGCCTAGAGGATTTTTTTCATTCTTGGAGTCTGTTACATGCTCCGTTTTATCAGATCTCTGCTTGTCTTGTATTGAAAATATGTCCTGATCGGACAGTTTAAATAAATCACATGTGAAGCTATACGAGTTTTAAAGTCCTGAAGAAACCGTTTTCAAAATGGGTTTTATTTTCTAAATGATTCATTAGAGTTATTCTGATTCTGACATTTCGAGATTCAAGTCAAAACAGTTTGGGCCAGTTGTTCAAAGGTAAGCTGACCGGATTTTGGTTATCGGATTGGATCAAATCTTGAAAATGGGTTGTTCAAAAGGGAAAGAAGGAATCTGAAATCAGATTAGATCAGGGAATCCAATCCTAGTTTTAATCTGGATCAAACCTTCAGTTTGTGTTTTTCAAAACTTGGATAACTTTGATCCAAAAAAACAGGATTATCCTGATCCCAACAGGGGGTAGGATTTCAAGGTGGATTTCAGGAAGAAAATTAAGTAAAACTTTAAAATTGCTCAAATAATACATTTGTATCATTAAGTGTATATACTTTTATTTATATTTTGCACTTGACTTGTGTAACTGTTGTAACAGTGATAAAGTAGACATAGGCTAACAATTAAGCTATTCAGTATAGTAAAATGATCTTGTCCCCATTTGTGTTTTGTCTCAAAATAAGAAACACTTACAGTGACCCCATGTCGGCTCTTCTACCTGTTCTTAGCCCACATTGTGATATGTTGACCCATTTACAGCACTGGTAATCCGGATTTGGTAATCGTGAAAACTGTGTATCTGGATCAGGGTGATCCAGTCCAATGTTGCTTTGAAAAACCGGCATAAAAGTAAGATGGATTACCTGATCCTGGATAGGAAAAAATGGGATTTCCGAATCTGGATCATTTTGACCCAGATTACATGTTTTGAACAACTGGCCCGAAATGTTTGACTTTGAACTTGAAATGTTCGACTTTAATCTCGAAATGTTTGACTTTAATCTTGAAATGTTTCGACTTTAATCTCGAAATGTTCGACTATAATCTCAAAATGTTTGACTTTAATCTCTAAATGTTCGACTATAATCTCGAAATGTTCGACTTTAATCTCGAAATTTTTTACTTTAATCTCGAAATGTTTGACTTTAATCTTGAAATGTTTGACTTTAATCTCGAAATTTTTTACTTTAATCTCGAAATGTTTGACTTTAATCTCGAAATTTTTTACTTTAATCTCGAAATGTTTGACTTTAATCTTGAAATGTTCGACTTTAATCTCGAAATGTTTGACTTTAATCTTGAAATGTTTCGACTTTAATCTCGAAATGTTCGACTATAATCTCGAAATGTTTGACTATAATCTCGAAATGTTTGACTTTAATCTCGAAATGTTTGACTATAATCTCGAAATGTTTGACTTTAATCTCGAAATGTTCGTCTATAATCTCGAAATGTTAGACTTTAATCTTGAAATGTTTCGACTTTAATCTCGAAATGTTTGACTATAATCTCGAAATGTTTGACTTTAATCTCGAAATGTTCGTCTATAATCTCGAAATGTTTGACTTTAATCTCGAAATGTTAGACTTTAATCTCGAAATGTTAGACTTTAATCTTGAAATGTTTCGACTTTAATCTTGAAATGTTTGACTTTAATCTCGAAATGTTTCGACTTTAATCTCGAAATGTTAGACTTTAATCTCGAAATGTTAGACTTTAATCTCGAAATGTTAGACTTTAATCTTGAAATGTTTCGACTTTAATCTCGAAATGTTAGACTTTAATCTCGAAATGTTTGACTATAATCTCGAAATGTTTGACTTTAATCTCGAAATGTTTGACTATAATCTCGAAATGTTTCGACTTTAATCTCGAAATGTTTGACTATAATCTCGAAATGTTTGACTTTAATCTCGAAATGTTTGACTATAATCTCGAAATGTTTCGACTTTAATCTCGAAATGTTTGACTATAATCTAGAAATGTTTGACTTTAATCTCGAAATGTTTGACTTTAATCTCGAAATGTTCGTCTATAATCTCGAAATGTTAGACTTTAATCTTGAAATGTTTCGACTTTAATCTCGAAATGTTAGACTTTAATCTTGAAATGTTTCGACTTTAATCTCGAAATGTTAGACTTTAATCTCGAAATGTTCGACTATAATCTCGAAATGTTAGACTTTAATCTTAAAATGTTTCGACTATAATCTCGAAATGTTTGACTTTAATCTCGAAATGTTTCGACTTTAATCTTGAAATGTTTGACTTTAATCTCGAAATGTTTCGACTTTAATCTCGAAATGTTAGACTTTAATCTCGAAATGTTAGACTTTAATCTCGAAATGTTAGACTTTAATCTTGAAATGTTTCGACTTTAATCTCGAAATGTTTGACTATAATCTCGAAATGTTTGACTATAATCTCGAAATGTTTGACTATAATCTCGAAATGTTTGACTTTAATCTCGAAATGTTTGACTATAATCTCGAAATGTTTGACTTTAATCTCGAAATGTTTGACTATAATCTCGAAATGTTTCGACTTTAATCTCGAAATGTTTGACTATAATCTCGAAATGTTTCGACTTTAATCTTGAAATGTTTGACTATAATCTCGAAATGTTTCGACTTTAATCTCGAAATGTTTGACTATAATCTCGAAATGTTTGACTTTAATCTCGAAATGTTAGACTTTAATCTCGAAATGTTAGACTTTAATCTTGAAATGTTTCGACTTTAATCTTGAAATGTTTGACTTTAATCTCGAAATGTTTCGACTTTAATCTCGAAATGTTAGACTTTAATCTCGAAATGTTAGACTTTAATCTCGAAATGTTAGACTTTAATCTTGAAATGTTTCGACTTTAATCTCGAAATGTTAGACTTTAATCTCGAAATGTTTGACTATAATCTCGAAATGTTTGACTTTAATCTCGAAATGTTTGACTATAATCTCGAAATGTTTCGACTTTAATCTCGAAATGTTTGACTATAATCTCGAAATGTTTGACTTTAATCTCGAAATGTTTGACTATAATCTCGAAATGTTTCGACTTTAATCTCGAAATGTTTGACTATAATCTAGAAATGTTTGACTTTAATCTCGAAATGTTTGACTTTAATCTCGAAATGTTCGTCTATAATCTCGAAATGTTAGACTTTAATCTTGAAATGTTTCGACTTTAATCTCGAAATGTTAGACTTTAATCTTGAAATGTTTCGACTTTAATCTCGAAATGTTAGACTTTAATCTCGAAATGTTCGACTATAATCTCGAAATGTTAGACTTTAATCTTAAAATGTTTCGACTATAATCTCGAAATGTTTGACTTTAATCTCGAAATGTTTCGACTTTAATCTTGAAATGTTTGACTTTAATCTCGAAATGTTTCGACTTTAATCTCGAAATGTTAGACTTTAATCTCGAAATGTTAGACTTTAATCTCGAAATGTTAGACTTTAATCTTGAAATGTTTCGACTTTAATCTCGAAATGTTTGACTATAATCTCGAAATGTTTGACTATAATCTCGAAATGTTTGACTATAATCTCGAAATGTTTGACTTTAATCTCGAAATGTTTGACTATAATCTCGAAATGTTTGACTTTAATCTCGAAATGTTTGACTATAATCTCGAAATGTTTCGACTTTAATCTCGAAATGTTTGACTATAATCTCGAAATGTTTCGACTTTAATCTTGAAATGTTTGACTATAATCTCGAAATGTTTCGACTTTAATCTCGAAATGTTTGACCATAATCTAGAAATGTTTGACTTTAATCTCGAAATGTTTGACTATAATCTCGAAATGTTTCGACTTTAATCTTGAAATGTTTGACTATAATCTCGAAATGTTTCGACTTTAATCTCGAAATGTTTGACTATAATCTAGAAATGTTTGACTTTAATCTCGAAATGTTTCGACTTTAATCTCGAAATGTTCGTCTATAATCTCGAAATGTTAGACTTCAATCTTGAAATGTTTCGACTTTAATCTCGAAATGTTAGACTTTAATCTTGAAATGTTTCGACTTTAATCTCGAAATGTTTGACTTTAATCTCGAAATGTTAGACTTTAATCTCGAAATGTTCGACTATAATCTCGAAATGTTAGACTTTAATCTTAAAATGTTTCGACTTTAATCTCGAAATGTTTGACTATAATCTCGAAATGTTTCGACTATAATCTCGAAATGTTAGACTTTAATTTTGAAATGTTTCGACTTTAATCTCGAAATGTTTGACTTTAATCTCGAAATATTTCAACTTTAATCTCAAAATGCTAGATTTTTTTTTTTTTTTACAGATTTTTTTACGTTGCGTTTCAGGGCTTCCGTAATTCTGTAATCCTATTTTTTTTTAAATGGTTTCAAATAAACATTACATTCCAGTCCTGTGCACATGTTGACTGGGGCTTGCAGTGATTTTGATTGATTTTTAACGTCATATTCAACTAAGCTGTTTCAAGTTTAGACAATGAATGTGACAAGCCAGGAATATGGAGAAATGCTGACGCGGTTGAGACGGCAGCTCAAAACTGCTCGGATTCATCTCTGTGGCTTTCACAGTTTATTGTTTCCAAACCAACGTCAGCAAAAAGGAATCCGCTCGTTTCTGAGGAGAAATGATATACCTGCGCTCGGACGACCAGAGGAAAATCACATGTGCCTGATCAGATGCTGCTCTTTCGTCTTAAGTTCACGTTTCATCGTCTCAACTTTCCCTCGGATGTTCCTCCTGAAGTAAAAACAGGCACAAAGTAGCTTATAGTTGTTAGCACACACTATCTCAGATTATTTGGACACATAAGTTACATAAATTTAAAGTAGTGAATCATTTTATCCCTTAAAACTCATCTTTAAAGTGACTTATTTAAACTTTTATCCTTTAAAAACAAAGTATGCCTTAAAATATCTTGAATGTAACTCGACACGCTTGCCTTATTTAGTATGCACGGTTCTATGAATATGCAAATGAGCCCCGCCTCCACTCACTCACTCAGAGATCCACTGGTTGACGATCACACGTTGATCCGATTGGTTACAAGGTCGTTTGTGACGTCAAAAACCTGTGTTTTTGAGACTGTCTTTGGTTTTAAGGAGAAAATACTCAGCAATGCCGTCGACTTGTCATAAAGAATATTAAAAACACCACATAGACATATGAACAGTGTTGGGTGTAACTAATTACTAAGTAATTAGTTACTGTAATTTAATTACTTTTCCCTTGAAAATGTAAAGTAAGGGATTACTCTTAATTTATCTGTAATTTAATTACAGTTACTTCTGATGTAATTGAGGTAAGTACTGTGTATAGATCAATCCAATCTCACAGCGATTCGTATGCATTTTATGAGGCGTCTAAATATTACGACCGCAAAGTCGTAAAAAAAGTGTGAAATGTCATGAGATCAGACATAAAACAATAGTGGGTTTAACATCAAAATGTATCGTCTGATGCTAAAAAGTATGTTTTTATAATGTAACCTTCTCCACTTTGGTCAGTTTAAGGATAATTCATGCAATTTTATAGTATTTACTTGAAAGCATTAAAACAGATTCATGTCTATCCTTGTATAATTCAGCTGGTTGAGATTGATATGGGATAAGTAATTAAAAGCAGTGGTGGAATGTAACGAAGTACAAATACTTTGTTACTTTACTTAAGTACATTTTTCACGTATCTTTACTTTACTTAAGTAGAATAAATAGTGCATACTTTTTACTTTTACTTCGTTACATTTTGCAGAAATTATTATACTTTCTACTCCACTACATTTCTACAACTTCTGTTACATTTTCTGATCAGTTTTTCGCCTGCCAAAACGTAATCTGACCGTCCGTTCGTTGCACGTTTGTCTCACCAGTGACGTTTGGTTGCCATAGATACATCAACTAAATGCGTCTCACACGCAGTGTGTTTATCGTGCAATTTATACGCGAAAATTTGTTTTTACATGCATAGGAAACGCACGGCAAGCCAAGAGGTTCAGAATTACACCATAAATTAATCGCGTTTACTGCCAAACATAGTTATTAACATCTAGTAAGGATAAGCATGATTTGCATATTGCCTAATTGCAAGCTTGTTTCAGAAATGGTGACAACAATTTTTTTTTCCATCATTATTGATCATCATTATAGGAGTATTAGGTTGAATTAGTTAAAATTAAATGTTTTATTAATCATTAGAAAATAGACATTAAGAGAATAAATTGTTATGCAAGTACTTTTACTTTTAATACTTAAAGTACATTTAAAATCAGGTACTTTTTACTTAAGTATGGTTGTCATTGCGTTACTTCTACTTTTACTAAAGTAAATATTTATCTGGTTATTTGTACTTTTACTTAAGTACTGAGATTCAGTACTTCCTCCACCACTGATTAAAAGTAATTAACTACTTTTTAGAGAGAGTAATTAGTACAGTGATCTAATTGAAGAGTTCAGATGCAAAAGCCTCTAAGTGCCATTTGAAATTTTCTTCTAGAATGATCATTTTTATCAAGCTTGTATATTTAAGTTCAGTGATTTCACTTAAATGTCAATGATAATTACCTATTCATTGTTATTTAAGTGAAATTACTGAACTTAAATATACAAGTTTGATAAAAATCATCATTAAAGAAGAAAATTTCAAATGGCATTTAGAGGCTTTTGCATCTGAACTCTTCAATTACACTGTTGAAGAGGTAATTAGTAACTACTTTTTTAGAGTAACTTACATATGAAGTACATTAAAAGCTGGATTTTCACAGGTGAACTAATACTCTCATGACAAGCAAACATCATGCACTTGGTAGTGTGTCTCAGCACAGTTTAAAACATTTGTTAGGATCTCTCATAAAACACGTGAAACGTGAGATTTCTTGGTTTCTTTCTTTCCGTTGATGCCTGGGAGAAAGAAGCGGTGGTTTTTCACTCCAGTGGGAAAAACAAAACTAAAAAGTGTTTACTTCCAAGTAAATAAAAAAGGGAATTCAGTGAAATGTGAGGGATTTATAAACAGTGTTGCTCATTAAATGTGTCACAAGACGTGAATCATGACAAACAGTGCCAGTCTCTCAGCTGACTCACATAAACAAATGCGACGGCGAACGCGCATTCGATTCTCAGACTCACGTGGGCTTGTGGGAATCGAGTTATGCCGAAAATCCCCTTTTCTGGTGCCGAGCGTCTCTCTCTCTCTCTCTCTCGTTCCCCTCCCCACTTCTCTTGGTCTCTGGCTCATGTTAGATCCTGTCTATTCCAGCAACGTATGAAACCCCACCTCCTCCCGTCTCTCTCTCTCTCTCTCTCGGCGGCGTGGACTCCTGGCTGTGTTTAATTGCCGAGTGGCAAGATCTGAGGGAAAGATCGGGAATCACATGGAGCCGCTGCGTCTGTCAACGCTTTACGAGCCCCAACCCCGGGAGAGAGAGACCGAGAAGGTGTAGGAAGGAAGTGTTGGAGTTTGGGAAAACGGTGAGAAGGGAATTTTTTTACGCAGTGGTGAAGAAAAAAAAAAACCTGAGGTGTAGAGAGAGGTGAAAGACTTCAGGAGAAGGAGAGTTGGAGAAAAAAAAAAGGAGGGAAGGAAAGAAAAGAGGCCCACCACTAGAGAAAAGGGTTCGGGAACAACGAGAGAGAACATTGGGAAAACAAGAGTAAGTTAGAAAAAGCACCAGGAGGAAGGAAGGGGGAGGTGAGAGACAAAAAAGTTGGAGAGGGGAAGTGCGGGAGAAAGAAAGAGACGCAGATGAGAAAAACAGACGGCGTGGATGGAGAGAGAACCAGTGGTTTTCTAAGTCGGATTTGGGACTGGAATGCACTCGGAGAACACGAATGCGAGATTTACAACTCATTCCTGCCACTTTTGCCCGGAGCAGGGAGTCCGACGCACACCGGGCCCCGTTGATGGATCATGTGTGCGTATGGAGTCGGGAATAGCCCCGTTCCCGAAGGAGTTGGGGATAGACGGAGCGCCACGGCAAGTTTATGACAAGGAAATACAACATCCGTGCTATTCCTGGGTGGATGTACGAACGCCAAGGTGGGTTCGGGAGATCCGACGGGAATGTGGATGCGTTCAGCGTTGGTATTACCCCGAGTTGCTTCATCCCTTTAACGGGGGCCATGTTTTAAAGGTCAGAGGTCAACGCTACTTCTCACCGGATCAACACTACGGAGATCCCCGGGAGTGGGATGATGTCCACGGACATTGCACACGGAGACGGGTGTCTTTCCGGCATCACGGGGAGCAACACAGCCCTGGGATCAGCAGACAATCAAGCCCTGGAAAACCACAGAGTAATGGGGAAAACTCCGCTTTTTTCCCAACCGAGGTGCCCTCAAGCAAGTTGGGGCGCTCGAGGCTGCAGGTGAACGGATCGAAGCGGGAAATAAGGTCGGATCCGGGAAGCGTAGCTGTGGAAAACCATGGCAACCAGAGGAAGAGCCAGGGAACAGTACGGGAACAGATCAAACAAGTGGTCAATGAGCTCGAGGAAGTGCTGGGTGGTCTTAAACAGGTCCAGTTGGAGATGAAAGAGGTGAGGATGGAATACTAAATTGAGTAATGTTAAACAATTTGGGATACGAGTTATTTACTCATTCAATTCACGTTTTTTACAACTTTACAAAAAAAAATGCATGAGTTTAAATACAAATTATGTTGCAGATAAAGTTATGTATTTCAGAAATGTACACTGTAAAAAAAAATATTTTCATGATCTGTAATCACAACATTTTTTCTTTTGTCAAATCAACATAAGTAATTTATGTAGTTCAGATAACATAATATTTTGTGTTTCTGGTGATTAAATCAATCTCCTTCATTGTATTAACTCAATTTTTCCATTTCAATGAACTTAAAATTTTAAGGCAACCAGGTTACTTACTTTTCTTAAGTTAAACCAACATTATTTTTTTACAGTGAATCACACTAGCTAATAATGTATTAATTTAAGGCAGAAACAATGAGCTCATTAAAATACTTAAATTATTATTATTTTATAGAAAGATTTAGCATTGGTGCATGTTGCATGCAAAGTTTCTTAAATTGTTACTACATCCAAAATCAAAATTATTTTATTTTACTCACATGTTCCAAACACATATGACTGACCTGAATATTATTTGCAGAGCACTGAGAACCAAACGACATTGGACCCCATTGACTTGCATTGTATTTACCCTCCCAAAACTGAGACACTTCTCAGAATATCTTCTGTTCCACCACAGAAGTCATTAGTTTGGAACGACAAACTAGAGCCAGACCGATTTATCGGACGATATTAGGCATTTTCCAAACTATCGGTATCGGCAGTTATAATGGCCGATAAATGAATATTTCAAAAATAAAATAAAAATGGATGAAACACACTTCAACCATGTCATGAGTGTTGGAGTTGTATAGTTTGTGCACCAGAGGGCGCTCTACAGCGGTCCTGTTGGCAACACTCACACATTGCTTGAATAACAATTAAAAGATCATCCCCATCAGTTCTCTTAACACAAAATAACTCAAATAAGCGTGACAAAATTTGTGACTATCATGTCCAGTTTTGCTGCTGTTAAATAAGCCGAGAGTGAAGCGGAATTAGCTAGTAATAGTTACGTTGCGTTGTTACAGTGTAGTTGACTGACTGTCCTTTTAACTTTTGATGTGACTGAAGTATTTCTTTAATAGCGCGTGACAGTTTTAGCAATGAGACGCATCATCTCTCCTCGGCCTGTTATATTGAAAATGTATGTTTTACAATTTGCAGTATGACGTAATCCATTGCTAAATTATGGCTCATCATAGACTAGCTAACCATAAAGCTAGCTAATGCCAGCTGTTGTGACAATAAAAGAAACAAGTTTCTTTTTAAAATGCTTTCATATTATTTGAGTTAAAACTAACTACAAATAACTAATGTTAGGGAAATCAGTTTTGTTGCGCGTTTCTGAAATAAAAAATAAAATAAAAAAATTTCGGCCGATATATCGGAATATCGGATTTTAAAACAAACAAATATTTGTATCGGTATCGGCCTTCAAAATCCTTTATCGGTCGGGCTCTACGACAGTGAAATGGCAGGCTGTTCGTGACCGGCTACTATTTATAATGAGTTTTCAAACATTCATATAACAAGATTTGTCACTGATTTTGAGTTTAGCATATTTGAGATGGGATTTTAATAAGCACAGAGACTGGATACGATCAAAACTTTCATCTTGTTTAACCAGTGGAAATATATTATCTGTGTGTTCTTGGCAAACATCTTTGTAATAAACCTATTCTGAAAAACAGCGAAACTAAACATCATCTGAAAGCCTTCAGAATCTAAAACACACATCTGCCAAAAAAAATGAACGGTCAATTATATTCAGCAGAGCTGGAAATGTTCCACTGGGAGATTATTGTATAGAGGAATATTGTATTTTCTGGATGGGAAGTGGCCAGTTCTTAAAGGCCTGTTAAAAGAGAACAGAATATTAAAATCAATACCTAGAGATAGCTTAATACGTGCAGATCGACATTAGCAATAATGGACTGAGCAGGACGTAAAACATTAATTGAATTATTTAGACATGTTTCAATGGATGCATCACGACTCCTATAAGATGTGAATGACTGCACCCGGAAAGAAAGTCAGTGGATTAATGCATCACAGAGAAGGAAGCCAAAAAAGTTATGTTACACTCTTAGAAGAAAAGGTTCTATATAGAATCTTAAAAGGTTCCATCAGCGCTACGTATTTGGAACCCCTAAAAGGTTCTATACACTCTTAAAAAAGGGTTCCTCTGGGTTCTATATAGAACCATCCTTGGCCAATAGAACCTTTTACCAAAAAAATGGTTCTATTTAGAACCATTTTGGAGTTCCATATATGAAGCGGGGGATGGAACCATTTCTGGTTCTAAATAGAACCATTTCTTCTAAGAGTGTATGACATCTTTACCTGATGATGACATGTGAACAAACTTCAACGGTGAATGACGATTGCTCTATATTTTCTATATCATTGCAGGTTAATGAGTCATTAAAGTACCAGATGTTGATTGGTTTGTTTGAGAGGCGATGTGAATTTCTGACTCAGCCAATGACGTGGGTTTAGGGGCGGGACTACAGAAGTGCTTTTTGTTTTGTGTTTAGGGGCGAAAAATATTGTTCCCTTACACTTATATTTAAGTACGTCATATGTACACTACAATTACCGAAGGTTATGCTGTAAAATTGCTTTAATTACGCTGTACTTTCCGGGCTGTAATCTAAAGCGTTACCAAATTATTAAAAGACAACATAAGTGATTTTTTGTGCTTTGCGGAGCTTGACAACCTCTGACGTGCAAACCAGCATCTATTCTGTAAAGCGTAAAGTTGCTTTTTATTTTTAAGCACACTAATCTTTTAACTTTGTTTCTGATTGTGTCTGTGAAGGTCGTCCAACAGATCGATGTTCTGACGTCCCACATTGACCTTGATGAAGAAGAAACAAGTCCATCCAATGGACTCTCCCAAGATGCCAGCAGAAGCAGTCGGACTGATGTTGTGGCGTTGATCCACTATTCGAATGGTGAAGAGGACACCACTTCCGACTCTTCTCTCGCACACAGCCCTGTGGATTTAGTTCACAATAACAGTCCTTCGCCAATGAGGAACCACATAAGCCTGTCCTCTCCTGAACAGAGACCCATTACTGTTGAGGATAAAGACAGAAGAGTCGCAAAACAAACCTCAGAGACTCAAAGGACTCAAAGGACGCTCAATGGAAACTGTCTACCACACCGAACGGCAAGGAAAGGGCAACTGGAAAACCACAGACCCCCTGTAGTTCCAATAGTGTACACTAACTCAAATAAAACCCACCGGCCTCCACCTTACCCTCAGAACGGACAGCTGAAGATGAGGACGCCTCCTTACCCTGGAAAACATAAGATGCTCTCCTCCACCGTAGTGTAAGGACACAAAACTAACTAACCCAAAGACAATCAAACAAACACATCACGCATTCTCACAGACACAGTTGCACACATTAATCAGTCACTCGGTCGTAATGTTCCCTGGTGACGAACCTCGAGGTAAGTGGACACTACATGTCCTCAGAAGAGCATGTGCTTGCTGTGTTTATGCTCATGCATGTCTAAAACACAAAGCTTTGGGTCGGTACACTCTAAAAAATGCTGGGTTGCTTTAACCCAATTTAGGGTCAAATATGGACAAACCCAGCCATTTGGTTACATTGCTGGGTTGTTTTAACCCAATTTTGGGTCAAATACGGACAAACCCAGCCATTTGGTTACATTGCTGGGTTGTTTTAACCCAATTTTGGTCAAATATGGACAAACCCAGCCATTTGGTTACATTGCTGGGTTGTTTTAACCCAATTTTGGTCAAATATGGACAAACCCAGCCATTTGGTTACATTGCTGGGTTGTTTTAACCCAATTTTGGTCAAATATGGACAAACCCAGCCATTTGGTTACATTGCTGGGTTGTTTTAACCCAATTTTGGGTCAAATACGGACAATCCCAGCCATTTGGTTATACATTGCTGGTTGTTTTAACCCAATTTTGGGTCAAATACGGACAAACCCAGCAATTTGGTTACATTGCTGGGTTGTTTTAACCCAATTTTGGGTCAAATACGGACAATCCCAGCCATTTGGTTACATTGCTGGGTTGTTTTAACCCAATTTTGGGTCAAATACGGACAATCCCAGCCATTTGGTTATACATTGCTGGGTTGTTTTAACCCAATTTTGGGTCAAATACGGACAAACCCAGCAATTTGGTTACATTGCTGGGTTGTTTTAACCCAATTTTGGGTCAAATACGGACAAACCCAGCCATTTGGTTACATTGCTGGGTTGTTTTAACCCAATTTTGGTCAAATATGGACAAACCCAGCCATTTGGTTACATTGCTGGGTTGTTTTAACCCAATTTTGGTCAAATATGGACAAACCCAGCCATTTGGTTACATTGCTGGGTTGTTTTAACCCAATTTTGGGTCAAATACGGACAATCCCAGCCATTTGGTTATACATTGCTGGGTTGTTTTAACCCAATTTTGGGTCAAATACGGACAAACCCAGCCATTTGGTTACATTGCTGGGTTGTTTTAACCCAATTTTGGGTCAAATACGGACAATCCCAGCCATTTGGTTACATTGCTGGGTTGTTTTAACCCAATTTTGGGTCAAATACGGACAATCCCAGCCATTTGGTTATACATTGCTGGGTTGTTTTAACCCAATTTTGGGTCAAATACGGACAAACCCAGCAATTTGGTTACATTGCTGGGTTGTTTTAACCCAATTTTGGGTCAAATACGGACAAACCCAGCAATTTCAAAAAACATTAATTAGTGTTATCAGTGTTGAAAAGAGCTTCATATTTTAGGACTATTTAATTAAAAGAAAGTTCTAAAGAACAACATTTATTTGAAATATAATCTTTTGTGACATTATAAATGTCTTTACTATAACTTGTGGTCAATTGAAGGCGTCCTTGCTGAATAAAATTATTCTTTAAAAAAAACCAAAACAAAACAAAAAAAATCATACTGACCCCAAGCTTTTGAATAATATAAGAAAAATACACATATGACATCTCGTTAATATCAAAAAATGTTCTGCTACAATGAGATTAAACGAAGAGCTCATGGAAATATCTGCTTTTCAGCCTTTTCTCTTCAGAAAAACCCTTAAATCTCCTAAAGAGTTGTAGAAGAGATCTCAACAACGTCTTAAATTTGCTAAGATGTCAAAGAGCTGCAATTTGCATTCCGTCAACAATGATCTAATAACAATTATTCAAAGGAATTTCAAGAGAAACATCCATTTAGTCTCGTGAGCTTTAAAACGAGCAACATCTGAATCCTTTTGGATCGCGTGTTTAAGGAAAAACCTTCCTCGCTATTATAACAGACACCATCCACATGTGTTTTTTCTTATAGTTATTATTTCCCAGAAAAGAAAAGCATGGTGGGGTCTGCCTGAACCGAATCATTTCCTTAGAAATACAGAAGATAGTCAACACAATGACTCAGTGTTAATACTGCTAACTATGCGTCATGAAAGATGTCTTCCATCTGTTAAACACGGTGTCAATATACGCTTGTTTCCTCAGATTACACTGAGCTTTGTTGTTTGCCCTGCGGGGAGATGAACGGTGTTGAACGGCTTTTCCCCATTGAATTACCTCAGATCCGAGGGTGAACATGACTTCAGCTTTGGGACTATTGTGTTGCTTTATCGCAGAGGAATGTCTGATAAACATTACATCCACGGTTGATTATATCGGGTCTTCTTTGAGGCACGTTAAAAGATCAAACACGCTGCATTTTTGTGGGAAATCATCTTACGCTGCTGTAGACAAAATGCAGATAATATTACCTCGTCCATTAATTAAATTAACTATACCCTGAAGACAGTGAGTGCATGCCTGTGCAAATTTGGAGGTTGACGGGACATTGCTTTGTGCTTTCTGGGACTTAAAACAAGTCACCCACCCAAGTCTCTAAGATATTACCATCTCTAAACATGCAACTAGGCTCACGCTGCAAAAAAGTAAAGAAAAATCGTATTTCCAGTCCAAATATAAAAGAAAATCTTAAATCAAGATGCATTTTCTTGCTGAGTAAAATGCCATGAAATATTAGGACTTGTTTTTAGTGGAAATAAATCAAAATGAGGTGAGTTGTTGCTTATCTGCCAATGGGATAAGAAAAATAATCTACATTCAAACAGAAAGAATATTTTTCTTATCCCATTGGCAGAAAATGTAGCTTGTTTTAAGCAACGACTCACTTGATGTTGACACATTTCCCCAGAAAACAAGACATAATATTTTATGGCATTTTACTACTTTAGTAAATGCGTGTTATGAATTTTTGATATTTGGACTGGAAGACTGTCCAATCCGGGCTGAAAGTGAAAGTAAAATATACCAACAGCCTTGATGCCTGAAGTGATGACTATAGGGGGAGATTATTTATTAATAATAACTTATTTTCACATAGTTCCTTGCACAATACTATATTATAAAGCTGCACAAACCCACACTGTAAAAAAAAAATATTTTCAAGATTTGTTATCGCAACATTTTTTCTTTTGTAAAATCAACTTAAATAATTTATTTCGTTGAGATAACTTATTATTTTGAGTTTCTGATGATTAAATTAATCTAATTAATCATTGTATTAACTCACTTTTTCCAGTTCAATCAATTTAAAATTAAGGCAACCAGGTTACTTACTTTAAGTTAAACCAACATTATTTTTTTACAGTGCACGCGATCTTATAAATGACAGCTATTCGGCTCTAACGCTTCAACTAACGATTGTATTAATTACATCATTACACCAGTAGGTGGCGACAAGTGACTTACGAAAAATATATTTATCATTGAATCATTCATTCAAGAGATTCGTTCGGAAAACACTGATTTATCCAGCAACGAAGTCACTGAATCATTCATCCAAACTGATTTTTTAAAATAATTCATTCAGAACATAAAACATATTAAATAGACTACAGGAATTAACATTTTGTCAGAACCTCTAGTAAATTAGGTTAATTTGCTTTGTTAATTTGCTCATAATGTTCCATGGAAAAATGTTTGTGCTCTGTTTTTTTCTGAATTAACGAGTTAATTATCCCAAAATTACGAATTTTTTTTTCATGGAAAAATGTTTTTGCTCTGTTTTTTCTGAATTAACGAGTTAATTATCTCAAAATTACGAGATCATTTTCCATGGAAAAAAGTTTTTGCTCTGTTTTTATGAATTAATGGGTTAATTATCCCAAAATTACGAAATTTTTTCATGGAAAAATGTTTTTGCTCTGTTTTTTCTGAATTAACAAGTTAATTATCTCAGAATTCCGAGATAATTTTCCATGGAAAAAAGTTTTTGCTCTGTTTTTATGAATGAACGAGTTAATTATCTCAAAATTACGAGATAATTTTTCATGGAAAAAAGTTTTTGCTCTGTTTTTATGAATTAACGAGTTAATTATCCCAAAATTACGAAATTTTTTCATGGAAAAATGTTTTTGCTCTGTTTTTTCTGAATTAACAAGTTAATTATCTCAGAATTACGAGATAATTTTCCATGGAAAAAAGTTTTTGCTCTGTTTTTATGAATGAACGAGTTAATTATCTCAAAATTACGAGATCATTTTTCATGGAAAAAAGTTTTTGCTCTGTTTTTATGAATTAACGAGTTAATTATCCCAAAATTACGAAATTTTTTCATGGAAAAATGTTTTTGCTCTGTTTTTTCTGAATTAACAAGTTAATTATCTCAGAATTCCGAGATAATTTTTCATGGAAAAAAGTTTTTGCTCTGTTTTTATGAATGAACGAGTTAATTATCTCAAAATTACGAGATAATTTTTCATGGAAAAAAGTTTTTGCTCTGTTTTTATGAATTAACGAGTTAATTATCCCAAAATTACGAAATTTTTTCATGGAAAAATGTTTTTGCTCTGTTTTTTCTGAATTAACAAGTTAATTATCTCAGAATTCCGAGATAATTTTTCATGGAAAAAAGTTTTTGCTCTGTTTTTATGAATTAACGAGTTAATTATCCCAAAATTACGAAATTTTTTCATGGAAAAATGTTTTTGCTCTGTTTTTTCTGAATTAACAAGTTAATTATCTCAGAATTACAAGATAATTTTCCATGGAAAAAAGTTTTTGCTCTGTTTTTATGAATGAACGAGTTAATTATCTCAAAATTACGAGATAATTTTTCATGGAAAAAAGTTTTTGCTCTGTTTTTCTGAATTAACGAGTTAATTATCTCAGAATTACGAGATATAGTTTTCTTGAAAAACATTTATTATTTAATTTAATCATTTAATATAAGTAATTAATTCATAAAAACAGAGCAAAAACTTTTTCCATGAAAAATGATCTCGTAATTCTGAGATAATTAACTCGTTAATTCAGAAAAACAGAGTAGATTTTGTTTCTTCAAGTTGCTTGTGTCATGTAAACATCTTACTCGGATTATTAGAAATAATCACATTTTGGTGCATGCAAATTCACTCACTGGACTTTAATTCTTCTGA